AAAACTGCCATAAAAATAAATTACTTAATTCGTTGTGTTTTCCCAACAAATATATTCTGTGTATTAAATTGAGAAAATTATTATTATATTTCATATAAACAATGCATTAATATTCAGAGAATGTGTATATAATCAAGTTATAGACTCATAATATAAATGCAGACAATAGGAAATGAAAAATATTATGAATAATAAAGATATTTTTCTGACCAAAAATATCATATAAACAATGCATTAATATTCAGAGAATGTGTATATAATCAAGTTATAGACTCATAATATAAATGCAGACAATAGGAAATGAAAAATATTATGAATAATAAAGATATTTTTCTGACCAAAAATTATGTTTTACTTTTCCTCCAGAATGTAATCTCAGTGTTATATTCAGTGTTTCCGTAAAGCAATGACAATAACTTTATATAAAATGTGGTAAACAATTTTTATATATCATAATATTCTACACAAAACAATATAACATAATCTCATATGACATGAAAAATATGGTCTAATTTCAGGTGAACTGTATATTCCTGTTATTGCTATTACGAGTGCTGTGTATCAAAGCCTCGTCAACAATGGGTCCCCAATACTCCAATTCGGGACACATTAACAATTCAGGCGCCGGCGGGGGAGTCATCACTCGCCAGAGTATTGTCGTCTCACTTCGGGCCGCAATACTATTGCTCCCACTCTATGGCCTACACTATCTCTTCGTCGTCTACAGGCCTAACATCGAGTAAGACTTTGTTTTGTATTTACCATTATTTTATTACAGAGTATTGTCGTCTCACTTCGGGCCGCAATACTATTGCTCCCACTCTATGGCCTACACTATCTCTTCGTCGTCTACAGGCCTAACATCGAGTAAGACTTTGTTTTGTATTTACCATTATTTTATTTTATGGTAATTTGTTTTCTGTACATTCTAATGATATTGTCTTTGAATTAATGTTTGTGTCAATTGATAAACAAAATTTACTGTTTTATGTGTTTCATAGGAGCTGTTGGTTTTCAGAAGTGTATCACTATTTAACGCTAACACTCGACGGTCTACAGGGATGTGCCGTTTCTATCATATTCTGTTTTGCCAACCATGAGGTAAAGTTGATATATTTTATAAACAAAAATAGTTACTTATTAAAAATTCATCTGTTTGTTTTAATAATTTTATATTTCTATTTAACTTATTAATAACTACTTTTAAAAATATATATTTATAGATTTTTAATTATAAATTGTAAATTTTGTATCGTTTTATCAAAATATTTTTAACGTTTTTATAAACAAACCTTGTAGTGTTTTGAACAAATGAATATTGTATCAATTCATGTTATATTTATCAAATCATTAAGCAATTTATATTTTTAAAAATACATAAAGAATACAGTAATATCTTAATATCAATAAATGGTAATAAAAATTAATATTATGAAAACTTCTTAAAAGTAAGTGTTTAAAAAATATTCTGACAGAATATATGTTATAAATTATAGCCATATATAATACTGTATTATATTTGTATTTTATTACCGATTTCACCAGATATTAAGATATCGTTCAATTCTATCGTATTTAATAAGTTTAATCAAATAAAGTGCACTAAAAATTTATTTTGACATAAAATAAACATTACAACAGAATCGTGAATATTTTTGTTTAACTATTTGGAGAACATTCAGTATTTAATATATTAATAAATGTTATTTATAGATATCTCAGTAAATATATTTATTGGCAAAACTTGATTGTTATTTACTTATGAATGATTCCCAGAATTTAAACGTTTCTATTTTTAAACAAAGGAAATATTCTACCCAAATGACTTTGTTTAATGACTAGTCTATAGCATAACATAAAAACAATGGTATAAATAAATATATATTTTTAATTAAATATCAAACATTCACAGCATTTTCAATCAAAATTTATTGAGTTAATTATAAGTTATAATTTATAACGCATGTCAATAATGAAACATATTATCCCATAAGAAAATAATGAGAATTTAATTAATATTAATTATTGTATTATTAGATAAGGTATCTCTTGAGACGATCGTTAGAAAGGGTGAGCACAAGAGGACAGAGGAGTACAACCATTTACATGACGGAAGTGGTGGGCACTAACCACAACTGACCAAATAATACATGTTTATAATTGATAATAGGTATCTCTTGAGACGATCGTTAGAAAGGGTGAGCACAAGAGGACAGAGGAGTACAACCATTTACATGACGGAAGTGGTGGGCACTAACCACAACTGACCAAATAATACATGTTTATAATTGATAATCATTTTTGCATTCAATATTTTGTTCCGTCGTTTCTCGTATCGATAAACTCGATGATGTCTTTGTCGATAATACACTCATATATTTGACAAATCATTAATTATCACGAATTATATTCAATTAATTAATGTCACGGAATATTCACAAGTCAACACTAAAGAGCCAATTGTCATGAAATTTTGAGATAACCTTTTTCATTGTGTGTATAGAAAACTGCCATTTAATGAAATTTATACCGAAATTCATTCACATTATTGATTACACTTTTAAGTTGCACTCAATTGTTGGGCTCTTTAGGGCAATAATAACACATTTGTTACCATAAAATATATTTTACATTAAATTCGTTGACATTATCGCCGTTTCTATAATCGATTCAATAACTTGTTTATGAGCTTATGATTGATGACAATTGACTAGTAATCCTAATAATTATTGTTATAATGTTTATAATTATAAATTTCCTCTGAATCTCAACTAATCTCTTGTGGAATAGGGTTTGTATTAATACTGATTATATTATACATAAATTATACTGTATTTTAGCGTATATTTAAAATTTGTATTTTTTAAAACACTTTTAGAATTTAGCCGTTTTCTACTTCATTAACCATTTGTATACATATTTAATACTTTGTTAAATTGTTTGTTAAGTTTTCTCTTTCAATACAATTTTCATGTTAACGAATGATTTGAAATGATTGTAATTCTTGAACCAAAGGTTTTGTTTTTTGTAAGAAATACTAATCGATATATTTTAAACCTAATGTTAAATATGATATTTTGTTGAATATAATGTACAATAAATTATATCTACTAATAGTTAAACCAAAAATAAATAAATTGTGTATTCATTTGTTGTAATTCTGTTTGTCTTATTAACCAATCATATTTTTATCTAATTCTCTCTCTCTCTCTCTCTCTCTCTC